CTCCCTCTCCCTCCCTCTCTCCCTCTCCCTCTCCCCCTCTCTTTCCCTCTCTCCCTCCCCCTCCCCAAATCATTTGAGAGTAAGTAGTATACATTTGTGGTCTTTTACCTCTAAGTATGTGTAGTTCCTAAGAGTAAGAATTTTCTTGCTAGGCTCAGTGGCTCAGCCTGTAATCCTGTGCTTTGGGAGGCTGAGGTGAGTGGATTGCCTAAGCCCGCAGGGTTTGAGACCCACCCGGGCAACTTGGTGAGACCTCATCTCTACAATAAATAAAAAATTAACCGGGCGTGGTAGCGCATGCCTGTAGTTCCAGCTACTTGGAAGGCTGAGGCAGAAGGATCACCGGAGCCCAGCAGGTCGAGGCTGCGGTGGGTGGGAGCGGCCACTGCACTCCAATCTGGGCGACAGAGTGAGACTCCAACTCAAAAAAAAAAGAATTTTCTTTTATGTAACCATATGTGACATTGAGACAATACTTTGATCTACTGTGTACTTTTCAGTTATATCACTTGTTAAGTAATGTCCTTTACAGAATTTATTCCCTCAGTATGTGGTTCAGTCTGGATACATTTAAAATTTTTGATGCATATTGTCAAATTGCCTGTATAAACATTGTTCCACTTACATTTCTGCCAGCATTGTATGAAACCTTGTGAGAACACATTCTCACATACATCTTTTTTAATTTATTTTTTGTAGATACAAGATTTTGCTGTGTCGCCCAAGCTGGTCTTGATGTACTGGCTTCCTCAGGCCTCTGCCTCATTATTAGCTGGGACTACAGGTGTGCACCACCATGCCTGCTAATTTTTTAGTGTTTTGTAGAGACAGAGTCTTGCTATGTTGCCAAGATTGGTCTCAAACTCCTGGCCTCAAGCAATCCTCCATCAAGGCTTCCCAAAGTGCTGAGATTATAGGTCTGAGCCACCACCTCTGGTCCCAACATCATTTTTAAAAAAAATTAATTAATTAATTTTTTTGAGTTGGAGTCTCACTTGGTTGCCCAGACTGGAGTGCAGTGGCCGCTCCCGGCCACCGCAGCCTCGCCTGCTGGGCTCCGGCGATCCTTCCGCCTCAGCCTTCCAAGTAGCCGGAATTACAGGCATGCGCTACCTCACCCTGCTGATTTTTTTATTTATCATAGAGATGAGGTCTCGCTGCCCAGGCGGGTCTCGAACCCACGGGCTCAGGCAATCCACTCACCTCAGCCTCCCAAAGGCAGGGGATTACAGGCTGAGCCACCGAGCCCGACTCCTACATCATTTTTAATCAACTGGAGGCTGCCTTGTTTCAGACAGCCTTTTGCAAGGATAATCTTCACCTTGTGTAGTCTGAATATGTGTTTCTCTAAATCTTTTGAGGGTACTCTGTTGTTAGCAGTTGTTTCCTGACTTGAGAAATTTCAGCTTCTCTTTTTTTTTTTTGAGTTGGAGTCTCACTTTTTTGCCCAGACTGGAGTGCAGTGGCTGCTCCCGGCCACTGTAGCCTCGACCTGCTGGGCTCTGGCAATCCTTCCGCCTCATTCTTCCAAGTAGCTGGAACTACAGGTGCGCGCTACCACGCCCGGCTAATTTTTGATTTATTATGGAGATGAGGTCTTGCCAAGTTGCCCAGGCGGGTCTCAAACCCGCGGGCTCAGGCAATTCACTCACCTCAGCCTCCCAAAGCACGGGATTACAGGCTGAGCCTCTGGGCCCACCTTCAGCTTCTCTTTCATCCTGAGGTTGCTGTTGTACTTAAGGCAAACAATTTTTGGCATAGCTAGGGTTGCTAATTTTGTCTTCCCTGCTGGACTGGCACTCCTGGAGGACTGACACAACTCTGCTCTCTTAGTCTTGGTAAGCTGAAGGTAGCAGAAACCTAGGAGAGTAGAGGCTTACTAAATTTGATATTACAAATACTACACAGTTCTGTGGTAAATATGTAAGTATCCTGAAGTCTTAGTGTTTGATGAAAATGCTATTATGGTGCTCTTTTCAGCATGAGGAAAATTGTAAATTGTATCTTTTTTTTGAATCAGAGTCTTACTCTGTTGCCCAGGCTGGAGTGCAGTGGCACTCTCACAGCCACCCCAGCGTCGACCTGCTGGGCCCAGGCACTCCTTCTGCCTCAGCCTTCCAAATAGTTGGTACTACAGGTACGTGCTACCACGCCTGGCTGATTTTTTGGTATATTGTAGAGACGAGCTCTCTTCATGTTGCCCAGGCTAGTCTCAAACTTGTAATCCTCTTGCCTTGGCCTTCCAAAGTGCTGGGATTACAGGCTTGAGTCACCATACCTGGCTGTAAATTGTATCTTTATTTTTATTTTTTGAGTTGGAGTCTCACTTCATCGCCCAGGTAGGAGGGCAGTAGCAGGCTCACGGCCACCCCAGCATTGACCTGGTTTCAGGCGATCCTTCCACCTCAGCCTTCCAGGTAGCTGGAACTACAGGCACACACTACCACACCCTGCTAATTTTTTGATTTTTTTTTTTTTTTTTTGAGTTGGAGTCTCACTCTGTCACCCAGACTGGAGTGCAGTGGCCGCTCCCGGCCACCGCAGCCTCGACCTGCTGGGCTCCGGCGATCCTTCAGCCTCAGCCTTCCAAGTAGCTGGAACTACAGGCACGCGCTATCATACCCAGCTAATTTTTTGATTGATTGTAGAGATAGGTCTCGCCAAGTTGCCCAGGTGGGTCTCGAACCACTCACCTCAGCCTCCCAAAGGCGCGGGATTACAGGCTGAACCACTGAGCCCGGCATTTTTTGATTTTTTTAGAGGCGAGGTCTCACTATGTTGCCCAGGCTGGTCTTGAACCCCAGGCTCAGGCAATCCTCTTACCTCGGCGTCCCAAAGTGCTAGCATTACAGGCTTGAGCCACCATGCCCAGCCTACACTGTTGTATTTACTTCTCAAACACAGTCTGCAAGGTGCTTATTATCTCCACCTAATAGACAAAACAGGCTCAGTGAACAGTGAATTGCCAAAAGTCAGACATCTGGTTACAGTACAGAGTCAGGATTCAAACCTAGGTGTGATCTGACACACAAACTGATATGCTACTAATACCCTAGAGTAATTATTAAGATTGGGAAACTCAAATGTAAAGAAGGAACTGCAAGTATTGATCCAAGTGATTAAGTGTAACAGCAGATCTCCAAACATTTTGGTCTCCCTTAAACTAAAAAAATGATTGAGGACCATAAAGAGCTTTTGTGGGTTATGTCTATAGATAATTACTGAACTAGAACTCGAAACTGAGATCATTACTGTTTATTTTTATTTTTATTTTTTTTTGAGTTGGAGTCTCACTCTGTCGCCCAGACTAGAGTGCAGTGG